TTGTTACTCACAGTTTCCAAGAGGAGGGGGCACACCAGGCTATGGCAGGGCCACACAGGGTATCACCAGGGTTGGTCGGGAGGCAGAGGGAACAAGAGGAAAACTTGGCAAGACCTTTATTGTAGTTTCTATGGGAAAAAACTGGCATGTCAAGATAAACAGGCTTAAGATTGGCTAATTTGAATAACTGCAACAAGCTCTGGGGTGTAGGGGCTATCCCTAGTTGTCTGGAACCTGGTCCTGGGGTGATCACAGCAGGGGGACAGTGGCCCAGAGTCTCCAGAGGAGGTGGTGGAGATATGGGCTCTGGATTGGCTGGTTTGCACAGGAAAGGTATGCTTGTGGGAGAGCTGTTTGCTATCCTTAAGAATTAGCTAGCCCTGGGAGGGACCATTCCTCTGGGTCAATAAGGCCCAGACACAGAAAATAAGCAATATATTTAATCCAGGAAGCCCTCCTGGTTGTGGTGAGGATGAGGCAGGATTTGGAGGGACTCGCAAAGCCCTGTCCCACCTGCCTGACCACTGGCAGCCCAGAGTTCAGAGGTGGCTCCCGAAACCCATCTCCAGTCTCCCCGTGAGTGGCTGACACTGATTCCAACCTTCTCCCGCTTGGGACATCCCCCAGGGCCAAGCTACAGACATCGCCATTCAGGCAGAGGAGATCATAAAACTCAAGAAGCAGCTGTACAACATCTACGCCAAGCACACCAAACAAAGCCTGCAGGTGATTGGTGAGTGCCCCTCCCCAGGCTGACCCCCAGGTGCTTCCCTGTATTTGAACCAACACAGAGACAAGTGACAGACCTTGCGCCAGGCCAGGGCCTCTTCACCTTGGTACTATTGACACTTGGGGCCAGATCATTCTCTGGTGGGGGCCGTCATGGGCATTGTCAGATGTTAAGCAGCATCCCTAGCTGCCACCCACTTGGTGCCAGGAGCACCCTCCAATTATGATAACAAAACCTGTCTCCAGACAGTGCCCAGTGTCCCGTGGGAGAAATAATCACCCTCAGTTGAGAACCTGTTATAAGTACTTTAAAAAGATCAACTTACAGAATCCTCACAAAAACTTCATTGAGACAGGTTGAAAGGTTTGAGCAGGATCTTCAACAAAGAATATTCCAAGTGGCCAAGAAACAAAACGAGATGTTCACCATCTTTTTTATTTTGAATATGTAGTTTGTTTTTTTTATTGAGGAACAGTGTATTTTTCCAGGACCCATCAGCTCCAAGTCAAGTAGTTGTTTCAATCTAGTTGTGGAGGGTGCAGCTCAGTGGCCCATGTGGGGATCAAACCAGCAACCTTGGTGTTATGAGCACCAAGAGAGCCAACTGGCCGCCCGAGATGCTCACCATCTTTAGTGCTGAAGTTTAATCATGACATCATGAGTTTTGAGGGAAAGGTAAATTTTGGCCACAAAGAGATGCCATTTCAATCCACTAGAACGACTAAAATAGAAAATACTGACAACACTGAATGCTGACGAGAATGTGGAGCAACTGGAACGCCTGTCCACTGCAGACCAGAGTGAAAATGATACAGCCACTGAAGCTCTGACCTGCAGCTCCCTGACTTCAGCTGTTTGGCACTACTGGCTAAGGCTAAATATGTGAAAAGATGTGGAGTTCCTCTGCTCAGCATGTAATCAAGAGAACTGAGTGCTATGTCCACCAGAGATGATGACAGCAGTCCTGTTCATATAAACACCAAACGGGAAAATACCCAGATGCCCACAGCAGTAGAGTGAGTGCATTAGTGGAGGCTTATGCACACCATGGAATGCTATACAACAACGAGAAAAGGGTCCACAATGACGGCAGCCTAGATGAACCTCAAAAACATAGAGCTGAGTGGAAAAGAGTAACACTGTGATTCCACATATGTAAAGAACAAAAACAGGCATAATTAATCTATGCTGGTAGGCCACTGTTAGGATACTGGGTACTCTTGGGCAGAAGGAGTTAATGACAGGAAGTGTAGCTGAGCAGGGCTTCAGGGGGGTCTGGCAACGTGCCATTTGTTGATCTGGGTGCTGGCTATGTGGGTATGTTCAGTCTGAAATTCATCACATTATCCACTTATGATCCATGCCCTTTCCCGCATGTGTATTATCCATTAATAACAAGTAAAACTATAAACACTTAAATAAGTATTTTAGCAATGGGGAAACTGAGGCACAAAGGGGGAAGTCAAGGTCACACAGGGAAGAAGTAGCAGAAAGGGACCCAAACCCAGCCCCAGGTCTCTGCTCTTAACCACATGTCCCGCCTCCCCCCTGCAGAGTTGGCCATGGAGAGAGACCGCTACATGAGCCCCATGGAGGCCCAGGAGTTTGGCATCTTAGACAAGGTTCTGGTGCACCCACCCCAGGATGGTGAGGATGAGCCTGAGCTAGTGCAGAAGGAGCCCGTGGTGACGGCGGCAACGGCAGCAGAATCTGCCCCAGTGAGCATCTGAGTGGACTTCTCTCACCGGAGGAAAGTTGAGGGGCCATATGCTGGGGCTGCAGCCCTGCCTGCCCCTCTCTGCCAAGCCTGACGGGCCCCTTGAGGACCTCTGGATTTGAGGGTGCCCCTAAGGGCGGGTATCCCGGCTAAGACACTGTGATTTTAAATTAAATCTTTGTAGTCTTTGTTCCTTTCCTGTGGCACCTTGCCTCCCTGCGCTTCACGAGGTCCCTTCTGCTTTCATCCTGACCTCCAGCTCCCTAACTTCAGCAACCTCAACTGAGTGCATACGCCATTCCAGGCACGTTCTAGAAGCTGCAACACATTGTGAAGAAAACACAAAAATTCCTGTCCTCAAAGAACTTACTCTTGTGGGGTAGACAGTTTAAAAAACAAAATCAGGGAAAGAAGTATGCAGAGAGATTGTGTGTGTGCGACAGTTTTAGATGGGGTGGGCAGCGAAACCTTGCTAAGAAGGTGACACTTAAGCAAAGACCTGAAGGAGGTGAGGGAGGGAGCCATTTGCTATCTTGGGACAGAGCAGTCCAGGCAGAGGGCATAGCAAGTGCAAAGGCTCTGAGGCAGAAGGTGCCTGACTTCTGGGAGGAGCCACAAGGCTAGAGTGGAGTGAGTAATGGGGAGAGTGGAGAAGAGTGGGGCACAAAGGGGAGGATTACAGATCTCAAAAGGCCGCGTGGGTCTTAGCAAGGAGGGAGGTAAACCACAGGGTTTTGAAAAAAGGAAAAGGATGACTGGCTCCCGTGGAGAGGTGGGAGGAATGCAGCAAGCTCAGAAACCTGAAGCAAGTTAGAAGACTGCTGGAATGATCCAGATGAAGGCTGACAGCCTGGCCAGTGGTGAGAGGAGGTCAAATTCCTGCCAGGTTTTAAAAGCAGGGCAGATGGGATATGAGGTTTGAGAGAGAAAGTAATCATAAACTCCAAGGGATTGGCCCAAAACAGCTAGGAAGATGAAGCCATTAACAGACAGGAAGGCTGCGGGGAGGCCAGGATCAGAAGCTGATTGGACATTTTCAAAGTCAGGTGTGCCTCAGACATCTCAGTGGATGGGTAAATCTGGGGTCAGGGTTGGAAATAACAATGTAGGAGACATGTTTGTCAATGAGTTAGCAGTCAGGCTAAGAGCTGGCAACTGGATATGGCATGATGGAAGTCACTAGTGGCTAGTAAGGCCACTTTCGGTGCTGTGGGGGCCAAATGTCAGTTTGGAGTGAACCCAGGAAGAATGGGCCAGAAAATACTAGAGGAATGACTAAAGAAAAGCAGGGAACATAAGGCTGGGACTGCAGGGAGAACTGGGGTGAATTTTTAAATTTTTTAAATTCAGAGGCCTTTTTAATGTGACTATTTTCATGGGTTACATTTGGCTGAACTTTTCATTCTGGACAATTTTATACACACAAATAGAAAATATAGGATAATGAGGCCTCATGTACCCATCACACCAACAATTACCAGTTCACGGCCAGTTGTGATAAGTCCCTCCTGTCCCCCATGACCCTGGATTACTTTGAAGTAAATCTCAGTTTTCATTACATCTAAATATTTCAGCATGTATTTCTAAAAGGACAAGTGATCTTTAAAAATGCAACTGCAATACCATTTTCAAACCTAAAAAGTTTATAATACAACGGTCAAATAACCGACCAGTGTCCAAAGTTTCCCAGTTTTTTTTAGTTTGTTCAAATCAGGATCCAAATAAAGTGCATACATTGCAACTAGTTGATAGATCTCTAAATCTCCCAATAGCTCCCTCTTTTTCTTCAGTCTCTTCTCTTGAAATTTATTTGTTAGAGAAAAAGGGTCGTTTGTCTTGTGGACTTTCAGTCTGTATTTTGATGATGGTCAGGTGGTGACATCTGTCCTTGGTATTTCCCATAACTTGGTATATAAACTTAGAGAAATCTGATTGGACTCAGGTTCCACGTTTTGGCAAATCACCTCTTAGTTTGGGGTGTGTACTTCCATCAGGAGGCACAGAAAGTCCAGTTGCCCCTCTTCGTGAGTTTAGGAGCCAATGAGAAGCCTTGTCTATATTCCAGCAAAGGCTGCAAAGTGGTGATATGCCAATTTTACCAAGAAAAAAAGTTTTTTGTTTTGTTTTGTTTATAAGATACAAGCCAGCCTGTTTGTATGCTAGTGGGAATAATCCCATAGAGAAGAGTAAATGGATGGTGTCTCACTTTAACTTTTGGCCACAACCCCTAACTGAAAAATTTGGCCCTACCCCATAATCGTGGCCTTAACATCACTCCCCTAAGCCCTGTGCCCCTGACCCCTTCATCGCAGCCAGACTGTACTCGACCTTCAACCTCCATAACGTCGGCCAAGGCCCAAATTCCATGACCCTGACATCCAACCCCAGGCCAGATCCTGCCTTTGCGCCCCGCAGGATGAACTTGCCGCACAGCCAATAGTCTAAACTACTGACGTGATGGCGCCCAATAGCGCGGGAGGAGGCGGGCTCTGGCAGGAGCCAATAGCTTGAGAGGCCGTCGCCGTGAGCGAGAGGCGGGACGCTAAGGAAAGCCAATCGATGGAGGGACACAGTGAAACAGCAGCCAATGCTTCTGGGGCGGAGGCGTTGCCTTGACTCCCGCTGGTTCCACTCCCCGGCTCCGGGACTATGGCCGGCAATGGGCGGCTGGCGCTCCGGACGTTGCCCGGGCCAAACTGGGTGCGAGGCTCGGGCCCGGCCGTGCTGAGCCGCCTGCGGGACGCGGCTGTGGTGCGGCCCAACTTCCTGAGCGCGGCCGAGGAGGAGACGCTGAGCCACGAGCTGGAGTCCGACCTGCGTCGTCGCCGCTACGAATACGACCACTGGGACGCGGTGAGGCGGGAGATGCTGGAGGCGTGGCCCCACCGTAGGCGGAGGAAGGGACGTTGGGGGCGGGGACAAGGGAGTGGAGCTCTGGGATGGGACAGGGTTACGGCAGGGGGCAGGACCTTGGGGATGGGGGCGGAGTCTTGAATCATGGGGTCATTGGGGGCAGGGAGAACACTTTAGAGGTGAGAGCAGGGCCATAACTGGAGGCAGGACATGAAACTGAGGTGTTTGAGGGACAGGACCAAGGTTAGGGGCAGAAACGGGTGTGGAGCGAGATGAGGGAGCGTCACGAGTTGGGGGCGGAAACTGATACCGAATTGAATATTGGGGCGAATTCAGCACTGGGGAGGTACTTGGGAGCCGGAGGGTGGGTACCAAGCACTGAGGACACACTAGATGGGACAAGAGTTTGAGACCCAGGATCATGGCTTAGATAGGATCAAGTTTGTGAGTTGAGGGCGAGGTCAAGGGTCATGCTGGGAAAACCAGCCCCTTGCTCTGCACTCTGTCCCTCCACACCTGTTTCCCAGTTCCCCCCGGGAGTTGCCAGACTTGACCTGAGTTCTCTTTGCAGGCCATCCACGGCTTCCGAGAGACAGAAAAGTCGCGCTGGTCTGAGGCCAGCCGGGCCATCCTGCAGCGCGTGAAGGCTGTTGCCTTTGGCCCTGGCCAGACCCTGCTGTCCTCAGTGCATGTGCTAGACCTGGAACCTCGGGGCTACATCAAGCCACACGTGGACAGCATCAAGGTGGGCAGAGGCCAGCACCTTGGAGCTCCCTGGGGAGGGGCATGTGGGGTGGGGGGGTGGTGGCCAGGCCAGAGCCTGATCCATCACCATGCTCCCTCTTCCAGTTCTGTGGAGCCACCATCGCCGGCCTGTCCCTGCTGTCCCCCAGCGTCATGCGCCTAGTGCACACCCAGGAGCCAGGAGAGTGGCTGGAACTCTTGCTGGAGCCAGGCTCCTTGTACATCCTCAGGTACCGCCCAGCCGAGGAGCCCACATCCCACCACTCACTTGTCAAACACCCACCCAGCACTTCATTCAGCTCTCAAAGCCGCTACCATCCTCCACACAGCAGAATCTCGGCCTGCAATAGGGGTTCCCTCACCCCACTCAGCCACAGCCTGTTTTCTCTTGCAGAGACTCAGCCCGTTATGACTTCTCCCATGAGATCCTTCGAGACGAAGAGTCCTTTTTTGGGGAGCATCGGGTGCCCCGGGGCCGACGCATCTCCGTGATCTGCCGCTCCCTCCCTGAGGGGATGGGTCCAGGGGATCCTGGGCAGCCACCCGCAGCCTGCTGACCCCCAGCTTCTCAGAGACACTGTGTTTGTGAATAAAGTTGGAGAATGGACAAGCTGGCCTTCCCTGCACTGGCTCTTTGCTGGGGCTGGGATCTTTAGGGGAAGCCGAGGGCCCCACTTGCCCACCCACTGGGAGCTAAGGTGGCAAGGCCAGGATGCACCCCACTGAACACAGAGTCACAAGGCTCCAGGAGCAGTTTCCTTTATTATGTTCCTTGCTGGTGGCCCCAGCCCATCCCCTTCTCATCATCCAAGTCTCCAGTAAATAAGTCAGCAGACTCCTGGTGTGGTTGCAGGTCCCCAGGTTGGGCACCCTCAGCCACCACAGCCGCAGGCAGCTGCTGAGAGCTGGGGCAGCCGCTGCCAGCGGTGGCGGTCATCGAGGAAGGCCACATCAGCATAGCGTGTGGGCCGGCAGCAGGGGCCACCATGTGCTCGGCCTTGGCCCCGCAGCCGGGCCAGTGTCAGGCCATGCTGGGTGCGGGCACCTCGGGGACAGCTGCCAGCGCAGTAGCGAAAGATGACTGTTTCCTCCGAAGCATAGCCCAGGCCCAGTTCTGCCACTGGTAGGGGCAGGCTCCACAGCTGGCATGGGCTGGATGGGGCTCGGCGCAGACGGGCACCTGGGTGGGACAAAGGGCAACTGACAGTGGGCATGGGCTGGCCAGGAAGGAGTTGGGCAGTCAGGCAGGGTCCTGGGGGTCCTTACCCGGCTGTGGCCTCCAGGTTCCTGTGTCTGCTGCTGGCTCAGATGAGAGCGCCCCCTCCACCACCGGAGCCCCTGGAGAACCAGGGCCCCCACCGAGGCCCAGCTGCAGTGACAGGAGCAGCAGAGAGCTGAGCAGGACTCTTCCTGTGGCCATTGTGAAGGCAGGTCCTGGGAGGAGTGGATGCCCTGCTCCCTCAATTTATCCCCATCTGGGCGGGGGAGTAACCTCTTCACTGCCGACTACTGCACAGGCACGAAGGCCCCCATGTTCCCCACCAGCTTGCCTCCCACATCCTCAGACCCAGGCAGGCCAGCTCGCTCTGCCTACATCCCGTCCTTCGAATAGTTAAGGGCTCACCCCCCCATCCAGAGATTCCACAGACCCATTTCCGACAGCCCCTGATTTATGAGTTGTAATGGCTGCCAGGGCCCAGCCCAGGGTGAGCAACCGGGGTCCCCACCCAACCTGTCTGGAGGGAGAGGTGGTGGGAGGGGGGCTCCGTGGGTCCCTGTCCCACTCAGACAGGGAGCTGAGGCTCAGGAGCCCATCAGGTGCCATGTGGAGTGGACATGTGTGGGGAGAAAGGGCGGGTTGGCAGGTGGATTAGCTAATGGGGACTCCTCCATCACAGCTCCTGCCTGGAGGATTAAGACATCATGCCCCATCTCCGGGCCTGGCTGAGCCAGCATCAAAACAGGAAAAGGGAGAGGCCTGGGGACGGCCAAGAGCTGGGACGCTCACTCTGAAGGGACTCCTGTCTCTAGAAGTCTCACCTGAGGACTCTGGGACCTCTTTGCCGTCCCAGTGTCCAGGGCACCAGAGCGAGAGGGAAAGTTGACTCCCACTGGGCCTCAGAGGCAGCTGCAGGTCACACTGACTTCCGTACCTAGCCCCTGTGACACCTGGGAAGTGTGCCTCTGTCCCTCACCTGTGAAAGGGGGCCTCTCATATGGGGTTGTGAGGACAGATAGCACATTTAGTGTTTAATATGGTGCCTGGCACTGAGGAGCTTGTAAGAGCTTTTGAGGCAAAGGATATTCAATAAATTAATAGCTTGTGCATGTTTGAAAAAGCACTCAGCCACACACAGGTGAGACTGCACCCAACATTGGCAAAAATCAATTTGCTTCCACATGGCTGGCATGCATGTATGACAGGCACACCCCCACGCTGTGGGTAGGAGTGTGAGTAGCAATTGAGCATTTGCTACTGAAACTGTAAACCCCATCCCTTTGACCCTAGAAACCTGCTTCAAGAACTCGTCCTCCACAGGTGAGCAAAGACACAAGCTCAGAGCTATTTGTTGCCTTGTTTGTATCAGCACAAGATTGGAAATGACTGGAACTCCACCTAGAGGGGATTGCTTCAATAATTCTGGTGTGCTTCTTATTGCAGTGTTTATCGAGACTACTTTCAGACCGGGGGGGAAAACCTCACTTGTCCAAACTCACCTAGAATTTATACAGATAGGACTTGAACCCAGGTCCCACTGAGCGCCAGGCCTCTGCTTCTAACCACTGGGACACATGGCCTGGCCTGGCCTGGTAGGGGGAGGCCTTAGACTGCAGTCCATGTGGCAGAGAGTGCAGGGTGAAACTGCCAGGGCAAGGGGTGAGGGCTTCTTTCCTGCTGCCCTAAAAAGGCCTAGCGGAAGCATGGGGAAGGAGGCTGGCCCAACCTGGGACATTCCTAGGAGTTAGCCTGATATCTCAGGCATTCCCACTTGGCAGCCAAGAGCCTATGGAACTGGGTGGGAAAGAATTTTCCACTTGCAGTTTCCAGTCTCAGGCGAGATGGAAGCCTGACATCCTGTCCCTAGCTGGATCACTCAGGACAAAGTTTCAAAATTCCATTTCCAGCAGCATTACTGTCCGTGAACTTGAAAAGTCCTCCCACTATAGAACACCTAGCAATGCTACAAAAAAATAAATGTATAACCAATTTGTAAGAAAATAAGGAAAGCCCCAGAAACATCACTGGAAAGCTGAAAAACAGGGCCCAGATGCCAACATCAGCAACAAAAGGAGTTTGGGCTTTTGCCACCACATAGGGAGAACCCCGGAGCTGAGAACTACCCAAAATGGGCTCAGGCCGGGACTCCTGGCAGGCACAAAGGCAAAAGCCATCTGGAAGGACTCGCCAGAAAGGTAGACCACTCAGGAGTCCCACAGATAGAGCCGCGAGCTGGCCACCAGTCCCCCTTCTGAGATTATAAAACACAAGAATCAATCTCAAAGGGAAGTCAGAAGATAGAAAAGAATGGCCATGAGCTTCAGGTACTGACCTGTCTGACGGAGACTATAAGAAAAGGATGCTTAAAATAAAAATGTGAAAGAAGGGATCAAAACCATTAGGGGCAAGACACTCAAAAGAGAACAGCTGATCTGAAAAAGAAACTGAGTACATCTTAATGAGTTAGTAGTGGGTAAGCCACAGCTGAAGAGAGAACTGGCAAAGTGGAAGACAGACCTGAAGGAATTAACCCAGCATTTGAAATAGGTTCTAAGAAGCATCTAAGGTTCTGGAAGGAAGGGCTGGGGAGAAAGAGAGAATAGAGGTTTTTCCAGACCTATCAATGCCAGGTCCTGGGATTCAGGGAGCAGGTGACAGACAGGCAGTGAGTGTGTGGCATTCAAGAGCCCCTGAAGTTCTGGAGACTAGAGTTTATTTATTGGGCAGACAGGTGGGGGCCAGCCCGTCACTCCTTGAGAGAGAAGTGCATCTTGTCATTGATCATCTTGCGCTCAGGATTGAGGCGCTTGAGGATCTGGGCAAGCACGTTCACCGTCTGCTCGCTGCTCAGCCCTGTCTTCTTGGTCTGAAACTTTTTCAGCAGGTCCTTGGTAGTCATGGGCTTCCGCGTCAGGTAGCGGCGCACGGCGTCCTCAGTCACCTGCACATCACTGAGGAGTGGAGAGTGGGGAAGTGAGTGGGAGGCCCTCCCTCCCTGCGGCCCCCGCCCTGCCCCCCACCATCCTTGCCAGCTTACCCACTGCTGGGGGTTGACTTCCCAGACTGGGGCTGAGGGGTCGACTTCCCGGACAGGCTCTGGGACCCTGTGTCAAGGCGTAACCGCTTGGCTGCCATCGTCTCGTTGGTCCGCTTCCCTGTGAAAGCAGAGGCAGGGCTGAGTATTAGAACTGGGAGAACCCCAAGCTAGGTAGTACCAGGACTATGGGACCAAGGGGCTCAGGGGTACGTAAGTGTCTGCCCTGGATCTGGGCTCAGATCCTGCTGCCCAGTGGGGAGAACAAGGACAGAGGTCAAGAGGTCGCAGGTGGGACTGGAAGGTCACTCACCCTGCTCCAGCTTGCTGGCAGCCGCCCGCAGGGTGGAGGAGGTGTTGCTACCATCTGTGCTGGGTGTGCCTGGCCGGCTATTGCCCCTAGAGCTGCCCCCCGATGGCTTCCGCTCCCTTTTGGGGGGTGTCTTCTTTTTCTGTGAATTTTGGGATTGGGGCTGTGAGTTGGAAAACAGACACCACATACACCCCCCACCCTTGCCCCAGGGCTGGGCCTTACTGCCATGAAGAGTGCCGAGGAGGCCTCACTGTCGATGTCACTCTCCTCCGAGCTGTCTGACTCGTCACTGCTATCTGTAAAGACCAGAGAAGGGGGCCGGCTGAGTGGCTCGCTGGTTGAGTTGGCTTAGGAGCACCAGCTCTGAGCAGCAGGGCCCCGGTTCAGATCCCACATGAGGGCCAGTGATGCTGCGCCCTCTACAGCTAAGATGGTGAACAACAGCTCGACCTGGAGCTGGGCTGCCGTGAGTCACTGGTGACAGTGTAGGCTGCAGTGGAGCTGCAGTGGGCTGCCATAAAGCTACCGTGAGTGGCCAGCAGCTGGCTGAGCAGCCAGGACGGCCGGCGAGCAACTGCCTCACCCGGGAAGAGCGCAATGATACCAACTTGGGTCGGTGAAGCGACATCCTCCACAACTAGACTGAAGAACAAAAGGACAGCAACTTGTCTGTTCCCCTTTCCCGATTCCCCAATGCTGTTCCCCTCCCCCAATTCCCCAATAAAATCTTTGGGGGGTAAAAAAAAAAAGACCAGAGGAGGGGTGTCAGGCCCAGAAACCCCTGCGCCCACCCTCAGCTCTATCTCAGATAACGGGTCTGAGAGGCAGGGGGCAGGGGCTGAATACTGAGCCCACCTCTCCTCCTCTTCTTTTCCTGTGGTGTGGGCGCCTTCTTCTCCTCCTCCTCCACTTTGTCCTCCTCAGGCTGCTTCTCCTCCTCACTCTCACTGCTCTCACTCTGCTCGTCCACACCCTTGGGTCCCTCCTCCTGCTGGATGACCTTGGGCTTGCCCTCCAGCTCGTCCTCGGAACTGCAGTAAGACAGCAGGCAGAAGATGAGTGCGTCCGCCAGGTCGGTCCAGGGTCTCACAGCCGCCTCCCAACTGCTTTACCTGGACCCGTCAGACATGTAGTCCACCTCCTGGCCCTCAAAGTCCCCATCATCACTGTCCTCAAAGGCCTCATCATCCGAACCCTTCTTTTTCTTCTTCTTCCGGCCCGCCTTGGTCATCGGCACCTTCTTCTTGGCCTTGGGGGCTTTGCCACCTGGAGAGGTGGGGGGAGGCTGTTTTGTATAGCCGATGATGTTGGGTCACTTTGGGGACATTGCTGACAGGGGAGAGACACCCAGGACTAGCCAATTCTTAGAGATGGGAAAAGAGCTTATGTGCATTCCAACCAATCCTGGGTCTATACCTCCAGCCAGCCCCTTTCTCTAATCTCACTCAGGGCCACTACTCCCTGCCCTAAATCATCCCTGGAACCCAGAGCCCACTGGAATTATTCAAACTGGCCAATCCTAAATGTTCATGTTGCCCTGCCTTGTCTTTCCCTCAGAAGCCCCACTAAAGGCTGTGGCCGAGTCCTTCCCGTCACTCCTTTCTACCTCCTACCAACTCTGGTGCTTCCCCCAAGTGGCCCTGGGTGGCGTGCTGTGCCTGCCTCTCATTTCCTAGGGAACTGTAACTCAACTTTTCTTTCAATGTCCTTAACCTCTCCGTGTTGTACTGGGCCACCTTTATAAATTAAGACCTGGGCAGAACTCAGGCGGCTGTGCTGAACACCCCAGCCACCAGGGGGCTCCACCTGGCTCACCCTCCTCGCCGCTGCCATCGCTGTCATCAGAGGACATCTCCAGGTCGTCCTCCAAGTCGTGGATGCGCAGCTCACTGGCCTTTTTGCGGCCACGCTTCTCCTTCTCCTCCTCCTCCTCATCCTGGTCCTGGTCCTTGAGCCGTCGCTGCTGCATGATGCTGAAGTGGTTCAGGACTTTGTTCCTCCTGTGGGCCGGGACGGGGGTACAATGGGATCTGATACCTCACTGGGTGTCCCCAGAGGAGGACCACAGACATGGCCAAGGTGACGTGAGGGATGATCTGACCCCAGGGGACCCACACCCTGAAATCACACAGGGAGAGCTGGCCCTACAGTTCCCTCTGCCCCAGGAAATGGTCTCGGTGTGGTGTTGGCATCCCAGCACTACTTGGGCTCAAGACCAATCTCAGGCAACAGACACTGACCTGGGAAAACACAAGGCACCCAGAGACTCCCTGCCTTGCTCTGCCAATTTGTGCTCCAGGACTCAGCTCAGCCACCACCTCCTTAGCTCTCACAGGACCCTGTGTGTCCTGATGGTTTAGTGTCTGTCTCCTCACTGGACTGGGAGCTCCCTGAGGGGCTGGTGAGATCTGACTGGTCATCATGGAGTCCCCAGCTCCCAGCCAGACACAAAGTTATGCTGATGGACCCCATTTCCAATCATGTTGGGCCCCCACTGGCAAAGCTGGGAATCACGTTGTCTGCATCCTGCCTCCGTCCCAGCCCTGCCCAGGTTCACTCACCTCTCCCACTCCTCCTCAGCCTCCTCGGCAGTGAGCGTGCGGTGCCGGGCCAGCGGCGTGAAGTTGTACCAGTTGTGCACAGGGAAAGCCTCAAAGGCTCCGTCAGGGCACTGGGTGAAGATGTAGTAAGACGTGTTCTCTGTCACTCCTCCCTTCTTTACACCCTTGAACCTGCAGAAGGACATGGTCACCACCTGACCAGAGAGATGAGCCCTGGCCCACCCATTCCCCCTCTACAGAGCCACGTGGGTTCTCCATGCAAAATCAGAGGCTGGGAGACCTTGGGCTGAACCTTGATTTCCACATCTGGAAAGCAGGGCCAGCACTGCCCACCCTGCAAGGCAGGCTCAGGGGTCCCCAGACTGTACCTATTTTATTGTTCCTCTTTCTGGAAGGACTGTGTTTGGTTAGCTATGAAAAGCACAGGCCCTGTGGTCAGAGCCCTCCTTGGGCTTGAACCACTGCAGCCTCCTGGCCTCCACCCTCATACTCCTCCCCCTCAAAAGTCCAGACGATTTTCCAGAGTGCCCCTTCCTTGCCTCTTGAGGACCAGGGCAGGTGCCCGGGCTTCCTGCATCCTGGCCCTTAAAGCTCCTGTACCAGCACCGACTCAGTTCATCTTTAAAAATAAAACCCCACGTGGGAGGACATGCTGTCTATCACCCCAGCTGTGCATACAGGACACAGACGTTTACAGAGAGCCCCCAGCAGAGGGCAGGGGCCTGCCACCATCACCACTTACTTCCTCCCTGATTTGCCATTGACACGGAGCAGCCAGGGTTGGTCCTCAGGCCGGAACTCCTTGAGGACGATGCCATACTTCTTCCTCCGAGCCTCCTCCCGTAGCTTGCGGTTGAACTCGCTGCCCGCGCCTGACTCGGGCATCTCCTCCTCTTGGTAAATCTTCTTGTTGCTCAAGTCGCGCTCCAGCCGGGCCTGGGGGGACAGGACAGGGAGGTGCAGGAAGCAAAACCTCTCAGCAGGGTGCCTGCCTTTGCTTGAGATGTGTCCCTACCCCAAGAACGCCCTTTGCTACACCTAAGTTGAGCTGCAGATACTCCAAGCCAACTTCCTGCTTGACAACCGGGGGTAGAAAGTTGGCACTCAGTGAATGTGTGTGAAGGGATTCAGGCAAGCCTTATACTATGGCTATTTTTGCAGCTTTTGAAAGTTTGAAATTATTTCCAAATAAGTTAAAAACAAACAAACAAACCCAGTAAGATCACTATGGTGGTAAAGACAAACCACCTGCTTGGAACTGGCCCTCTTCTCCCTCTCTGCATTTGATTCTGGACTGCCCCATGAATTCCGATGCCATTAAAGGCACAGGTTTCCCAAATTTCAATCTCCAGGCAATTTAGCAGTAGACATTATTTTAAAATACATGTCTGTAATTCTGCCCTGGCCCTCACCCCTCCATATCCAATCCATCGACAAACTCTATTGGCTCCACTTCCAAAACACACTATAATTCAATCATTTCTCATCTTGTTTGCCTCAAGATTATCATCCCTCACCAGGTCCACAGCTGTCGCCTCAACCCTGCTTCATCTGCCCTCAACCCTACAGAGGCGAGATCACTTTACAACACCCCTGTTTAAAACCCTTAATGGTTTTTCCTATAGACTGAATGTTTGTGTGTCTCCCCCACAAAATGCATGTGTTGAAACCTAACTCTCAGTGGTATGGTATCTGAAGGTTGGGCCTTTGGGAGGTGACTAGGTCATGAGGGCGGAGACCTGGTAAATAAGATGAGTGTCCTTATAAAAAAATAAAAAATAAAAAAAAGACCACAGAGTTCCCTCACCCCTTTTGAGAGGACACACTGAGTGAGAAGACTACTGTGTATCAACCAGAAAATGGGTCTCGCCAGACATAAAATCTGCTGGTGCCTTGATCTTGGACTTCCAGCTTCCAGAACTGTGAGCAATAACTGTCTATTATTATTATTTATAAGCCACCAATCTATGGTGTTCTGTTAGAGCAGCCCCAATGGACTGAGACAGTTTCCAAAGCCGTTTCCAGAGCCTCCAACAATGGGAGCTTTGTGCCCATCTGCAGGATGTCTCCTCCTCCCTTGCCCAGATAAATCTAGGCCCAAAATGCCCATCAGTGGGCAAAACCCCTAAATGTTCTCCTTTCAGAAGGCCTCTTGCAGGGCCTAATAAATCTTACTCAGAGGGATGCCCAACAGCTCAGCCTGGACCTTAGTCATCATTTGTCTCCACTGGGGGAGCACTGAGAAAACTAAGCCTTAGTTACTATTACAACTAAGCAACTATTATAACCACTGGGTCCAGGATCAAGTTCTCACCCCCTTCAGAACAGGGACTTACTTGATTCCAAGTAGCAAAGTTGACTTTATCGGCTGCATTGAAGGCCATGATGTTATATTTTTTGGTTGTATTTCTGGAATGGGCAACAAAAGTCAGTGCTCAGCCAATCAATCCAACAAACTCTCCCCGATTCGGCCCTTTGTGTCAGGCAATGATGGGGCCTTTAATATACGCCAGAGGTTCCCAGTCTGTCAGGGAAGCCAGCTCCATACTCCCAGCCCCATGTAGAAGCAGGGACAAAGATTTAGGGGAGCCCAAGATGTGGGGATCATCTGGAACTCAGCCCTGGACAGGAGGGAGGGTAAGCACGGAATGCCTCCTGGAGGAGGAAAGTACTGGAACTGGATTTTTGGGGATCAACAAGAATACACCAGCAGAGTCGTTTGGAGAAAAGGTATTCCTGGCAGAGGAAATGCTAGGCCAGGGGTTGCATCCTACTGCATATTAACTCCTTCATTCGTTCGTTCGTTCATTCCGTTCAAAAAACAATGATGTCCCAAAGAGACTCAGCTCGAACCCAGCCCCACCCTCAGGTCGCTGCCACTCAGGAGGTGGAATCACAGACAGTGCAGGGACCGCCTAGAGGCTTGGGAAGGTTTTATCCCTTTTGCGGGGAGGAGGGAAGAGGCGGGAGTTGGGACTTACTTGGGAACGCGAACGACATACTCAGTTACATTCTGGCTGCCAGGGCCCTGCGGAGAGAGAAAGCAGGATGCCGAGTGAGGGGCTGCAGAGGCCACCGCCGGGTCCCCCGAAACCCGCCTCATACTTACGAAGGCCGCCATGGCAAGGGTCAGTGGTTAGGGTCTGGTCCGACCTGGGTCCTTTTCGTCTCTCGTAAGGTCCGCGACCCTCTATCCGGGAGAAGCCGCCCTCGTGGTGTCTGTCGGGTCTCTGGCCAGGATCGAGGACCTCAAGTCCGTGGTGCCACCGATCCAGGGAAAAGCTACTAGAAGGCGGCGCTCGGCAGCTTTCAGCCACAGTGGCCGCTGCTAACACGTCTGCGCCTGCGCCTGCGCCGCCGACTAACCTGAAAGCGAAACTCACCCGCTGGCCGCGTCACGATGGCAACTTCCCCCTGCCCCGGGCCCCTCAACGCTCTGTCACCTAGTTTCCCTGTCCCTTTCAGAGCGGAGAGGGAGTCCGCATCTGAATTAAGCGCCTCCCAGCGCCCCCAAGCCAGCTGACCGCTTTAGTACAGTTGATCTAATCATGACATATGGGCACGCCCTCCCCGTGATATCATCACGCAAGGGCCGTGGGGCTTCCTGGGAGGGGAGAAAGAAACCACCCACCGTCGCTGGCTCTCTGCACCTGGGGCGAGCGCCGCCCCACTCCGGAAGTGAGTGTAAGGAGGCCGCGTCACCATAGCAACCGCGGCCTTCTCTGATGAGCCGAGCTGCGGTGGCTCCATCTGAACCTCTGTGGTGTTCATTTCCTCCTCCTGCCCCGGGGGCACCCCATCGTTTTGCTAAATGGTTGGCACAGGGGCCCTTGTGACGTTGAGCCAAGCCAGGAGAGATCAGGGCCTGAGCCGGGATGGGGCGCGACCACCCCACGGACCGCTGGCGGGATGGGTCTGTGCAAGTCCAAGCTGCCCAAGATGGGCAGGCCCCTGAGGCCCAAGGAGAAGGGTAATATCGTGGGGATGGCTGGCTTACTAGAGGGAAGGGAAGGAGGCTGCGGAGGGCAAGAGGAAGGTACAAGTACCCCATCCCACTTGTCCAGGTGTGTCCCCACCATAATAGTAACACAGCTGTGCATGCTCACAGATCAGCTATTCATTAATCCACCTGAGCGCTTGCTGTACTGGGTTCTGGGCACTCCATGGTGACTGTGCCAAACCAGCTGCCTGTCCTCTTGGAGATTACAATATAGCGCAGAAGACTGTCTCTGAAAATGATGTCTACAACCCAGGAAATACTGCAGGAAAAGCACAGCTGGCTCTAAGGGCTCAGGGAAGTGGGGAGGTGTAAGCTGAGCCCCGCAGGACGCATAGGAGTTGGCTAAGCAAAGGTGGAGGGAAGCAAGACATCAAAATTGCACCGTAAACTACAGCACCCCTTAGACATGTCCAGTAGCTGTGGACTTTCACTTAGTCTTCACTCTCTACTATATGTCAGGAACTGTAAATTACTAGAAATATAGGAACAAGTGAGACAGAAATAATTCTCGCCCTCATGGCATACAGTCTGGCAGGGAGACAAACAAGAATAAGTACACAGGCAAAGTCATTACTGATCGTGGCCTTTGCTGTGGAGGAAATTGGGTTCTGACACAGAGAATGATGATGGGTGAGCTACAACCTGAAGGCACTGGGGCTGGGATTTCCCAGGAGGTAGAATGAGCTTGGTAAGTTCAAGGGACAGGAAGGAGGCCAGGCAACCCTGGGGCTGGACCGGAGTGAAGGAAGGCGAGGGTGGTATGGGATGAGTCTGGGGGATGGGCAAGTACTTACCCTTGTCTGAACCTCAGTTTCTTGAACTGTAGATTGGGATGTTAGAGTCATTGTGACACTTCAAGGAGCTGCTGCTTGCAAATGGCCTAGCCTGATCAGGTTTACATCCTCATCCACAGAACCCACAGCAGCACTAACGCATGCCATGCCTTACATTGGATACACCATTGGGCCAGGACACACACTCTCAGATGCCACCCTAAGGCAAAAGTGGGTATGCCAGAAGACCTGTGTCCAGGACATGCACTAAGCTGTAAACACAATCACATCGGTGTCCACTAACCCCTACAGGCACCAACCCTCTCCCTCCTTCTTCCCTGGGCACCGCAGACATCTTCAAGTCCCCCCTGATCATCTTTGTGATGGGCGGGCCCGGCTGTGGCAAAGGGACACAGTGCAAAAACATGGCGACTAAGTATGGCTTCTTCCATGTGGGGCTGGGCCAGTTGCTGCGGCAGGAGGCCCAATGCAGTACTCAGTGGGGCCGGAAGATTCGTGAAATCATGCTACAGGGGCTCCCGGTGCCCGCGGTGAGAGCTCATGGGTGCAGGGGCGGAGGGAAGATGGGGCTATGTGGGGACGATCTTCCCGGAAAGGCCCTATGGAAACTGATGGGCCTGGAAGGCTGCAGCTCCGCACCTTGCCACTGTTTTGCTGCCCTGAGCCTCTGTGTCTCCATCTGTAAAGTGGGAGAGCAGCTGGACCCACAGCAAGAGTCTGTGGTGAGGTTTGAATGACATCATTCCTATAAAACACTTCGCAGAGTTCCTGATACTTATGAAGCACTCAATAAAATTAGCTAGTATTTATTCCCTTTGTAACCCTGGGCACATATATCATTGTACCCGTTTCCTCATCCACAGAATGAAGGTCACTCCTGTACCTACCTGTAAGGTGACTGTGATGAGCAAATGAGGGCCAGCCAGCCTGGCACATGGTAGATGCCTGCCCAGTAGACAGTCACTGTGCCCACTTCTCAGAAGTGCTTGTGGAGGCCCCAGGGCATCGGGACAGACTCAGAATCTTGGGTGGTGGTGGAGCAGTTGTTCCTCAAATTCATCAGAGGTCCAGACTGAGAAAGACAATTTGCCAAGGTGACCCCGTAGGTGAGGGCCTCCGGACACTGACCCACCCACCCCTTTCCTTCCCAGGGTATCATCCTAGATATGATCAATGACAACATGCTGTCCTGCCCGGAGAGCCAGGGCTTCCTCATCGATGGCTTCCCTCGGGAGCTGATTCAGGCCAAGGAGTTTGAGCACATTGTGAGTGACCCAAAAGTGTGTGAGGGTGTTAGGGTGTGAGGTATGAAGCCGTTTCTCCCTCCCCACCTTGGATGGAGATCAGAAGGGGTGAGACTCAAGGGAGAGGAAATGAACAGAGAGAATTAGAGTTTTGTATTATCAAGGAACAGTCAGGTTGTTGGAAGCTTCTAGAACCCAGGTGAAGAGCTAGAGAGTTCTCCGAGGGCAAAGACAAAGCCATTTTAGTATCTTCCTGCACACTTTCTGCCCACTGAATAGCAGGGGTATTTAGCAGCATCTCTGGGCCATAAAGATGGAATATAATTCTTCGTTCATCTTTTTATTCCACTACCTGTCCCCAAACAGTCCTTGAGGACCGACTCTGAACTGGGGTGTTCATGAGACAGGCTTGGTCCTTACTCTTAGGATGCCAAGAAACAGAGATACGTGACATGTAAAACTAAACAGAAATTTCTCGTAGCAATAAGTGCAGTGAAGAACAGAAGACAGAATGACGTCCTGGAGGGATACTATTTCAGTTTGGGTGGTCCAGGTGGCCTCCTTGAAGCAGGGACATTGGAGAGCTAGCTGAGAGATGAAGGAGGAGCCAGCCAGTGCTGGGCAAGTTGGAGTGAACTTCTGCAGGTTATTTTTACACGTCAGCCACACTTACTTTATGAAAAGACCCATCCAGGCACCTGAACAGCAAGGACTGGAGCATTTGGAAATGACAGCAAGAAAAGAGAAACTGAGGCAGGCTGTAGGCCTCCAGGCTTTTCTGGAACTTGCTAGGCTCCAGTTGAAATGCTTTCAAAGAAGTCCAGGTGGGAATTAAACAAAGGTCACCCAGCCTGGGGCAGCTGTCCCCAGTTGGGTGGGGCCCTGCCCTTTGTTCGCACCTCCATTGAAGCAATTCTGTGGGGCTTATTGTGATGAAGTTAAAGGGCAAGTGACGGGCTTCCTCTCCCGGCCTGGGAGCTCTGAGGGCAAAGGCGGAGTCAATGGACTTCTCTGCCAGCACCTGCCGTCAAGTAAGCACCCAGTCATAAATGCCGGCTGAATGGCCTCCACAAATGGCCGCAAACTCTCAGAGCCAAGGCTACAAACTCCCAGCCCTTGGGCCTTATTTGATCCACCAATGTGTTCAGCTTGGACTCTAGAGCGTTTGACCCTTTTTTTACTTTAAATGAGTGGCCCACTTTCAAAAATCGGGAGATGTCATTTCAAAACTCCCAGCTTCTCTTGAAAATCACCTGACGTGGCAACGCAGGGCCTGCATGTCCCCATAGTAACAGCAACGTGAACTTGTCCTGAGCTTTTTACTGAGCCCAGCACTGTTCTCCACACTGCATAGGTTAACTGTGATCTTCCAGAATGTTCTAGAACAGCGGTTCTCAACCTTCCTAATGCCGCGACCCCTTAATACAGTTCCTCATGTTGTGGTGACCCCCAACCATAAAATTATTTTCATTGCTATTCTATAACTGTAATTTTGCTACTGTTATGAATCATAATGTAAATATCTTTTTGTTTTCTGATGGTCTTAGGCGACCCCTGTGAAAGGGTTGTTCGACCCCCAAAGGGGTCGCGACCCACAGGTTGAGAACTGCTGTTCTAGAAGACCATTTCTCGCACTGTTAGCATCCTACTTCCTCACAGAGGGATTAGGGAGCTTGCCTGGGGTCACACACTTTAGGTAGTGGGGGCAGGACTGTTTGTTCAGACTCTGGCCTGCCCTTGGTGGGCAGCATATGTCAAATGAATACACAGGAAGCCCCCCCAGGAAGCCGTTTGCTCAAGGGGCTGTGGGGAGGGCCCCACAAAGCGTGTGCAGCTCCGATAATTGTAATCAGGTTGGACTAAAACAAACAGGGTTACGAGGCCCATTTATCTGGGCCGATATTTCTCCCAAAGTGTCACCTGAAATGTGGGGCAAAAAATGATTTTAGGGGGTTCACGGAAGAACATTTAAAAATAATATTATCTTGGGCTGGCGGAGTGGCGCATGAGTTAAGAGCTGGCTTGGGACGCCAGAGGGCCCCGGTTCGGATCCCACATATGAGGGCCAGTGACGCTGTGCCCTCTACAGCTAAGATGCTGAACAACAGCTCAACCTGGAGCTGGACTGTCGTGTGTCGCCGGCGACAGCGTAGGCTGCAGCCCCTGCTACAGTGGGTTGCCATGGGCTACCATGTGTAACCAGCAGCCAGCGTGAGTGGCCAGCAGCCGCTGTGAGCGGCCATCCAGAAGCCGGCGACTGATCTGCCTCGCCCAGGAAGAGTGCAATGATGGTGCCAATTTGGGCCAGTGAAGCAACAGCCTCCACAACTAGACTGAAGAACAAAAGGACAGCAACTTGCCTGTTCTCCTTCCCCCAATTCCCCAATAAAAATCTTAAAAAAAATAAATAAATAAAATAAAATAAATAAAAATAATATTATCTTTAAAACCTTTTTAGCCTCACAGGACATTGCCAAAACGGTAGAAAGTTCCCATTGTATCCTTCACCCAGTTCCCCGCAAGGGCACCATCTTATTTGACCACCATTCCGTATCAAAACCAGGCTCTTAGCATTGGTATGTATTTGTTTTACAGTTACTTCCACAGCAAGTGACATTCACTTTCCTTTTGCCTTAGTGCTATCATTGCCTTAAAAAAAAAGTTAAGTAGAAAAAGAAATTTATGGGGCCGGCCGAGTGGCGCGATGGTTGAGAGCTGGTTTGGGACGCCAGAGGGCCCCGGTTCGGATCCCACATATGAGGGCCAGTGACGCTGCCCTCTACAGCTAGGATGCTGAACGACAGCTCGACCTGGAGCTGGGCTGCCGTGGGTCGCCGGCGACGGCGTGGGCTGCAGCCCCTGTGGCGGTGGATTGCCATGGGCTACCGTGTGTGGCCGGCGGCCAGCGTGAGCGGCCAGCAGCCAGCGTGAGCGGCCAGCAGCCGCGGTGAGCGGCCGTCCAGAGGCCGGCGACTGATCTGCCTCTCCTGGGAGGAGCGCAGTGATGGTGCCAACATGGGCCGGTGAGGCGACGTCCTCCACGGCTAGACTGAGGAACAAAAGGACAGCAACTTGTCTGTTCCCCTTCCCCCAATACCCCAATAAAAATCTTAAAAAAAAAAAAAGAAATTTATGGAATTTAAAGTCTAAAATATTGGATCGTTGGAAAAGTCATGACGCATGTTTGCAACAGATGGCACTAGTTCATTTTTGGAAGTTAGAGTCATTTGCATCTATGTTATTCCTATGTCATTTGACAGCTGACAGTTCTAGCTTCATTCTAAAAAAAATTGAGTGATTTGGTTGAGTTTTGGAGATTTTACAACAAATTGAAGATGGAAGACCAAACTCTGCATTTTTGCCATATTTTACTGTTTTACTTCCATAAAGGGAAGATTGCGCTTCAAGCTTGTGAAAAGTTCCATAAAGTTTACGGTGACAATGCTCTACAAGAATGTCAGTGCCAACTTCCGTGCTGGGGATTTTGGTCTCAACAATGCTCCTCAGTCAGGGAGGCCCACCGAGGTTGATGACAACAAAATAAAGGCATTGATCGAGTCAAACCCACATTACACAACACAAGAGATTGCAGAAACATTGAATATCCATCATTCAAGCATTCATGACTACCTGAAGAAGCTGGGATACGTAAACAAGCCCGATATTTGGGTTCCGCATGAACTCAAAGAAGTTTGTTTGAAAGCGCGTATAAACATCTGCAATATGCTCATTAAATGTGAGGAAAATGATCCTTTTTTGAAGCGACTGATAACTGGTGATGAGAAGTGGATTGTTTACAACAATGTGGTGCACAAACAGTGTTGGTCCCGACATGATGATTCACCTTAAACAACATCAAAAGCAGACATTCATCAGAGGAAGGTTATGCTCTCAGTGTGGTGGGATTTTAAAGGTGTCATATTTTTCAAGCTCCTACCAAGGAACCAATCAATTCGAATGTGTACTGTTGGCAGTTGGACGGTTCGAACGAATCCATTATCCAGAAACGTCCAGAGCTTGTTAATTGTAAAGGAGTTCTGTTCCATTGTGACAACGCGAGACCACATACATGTTTGATCACCAGTCAAAAATTATTGGAGCTTGGATGGGATGTGTTGCCACACCCACCATACTCGCCTGACCTTGTGCCATCAGACTTCCATTTGTTTCACTCCCTTCAAAACTCCTTGTGTGGTATAATGTTTAATTCAGATGAGGCTGTAAATCAGCACCTCGTTCAGTTTTTCGCAAATAAAGACGTATCCTATTAATGAGGAATTATGAAGCTCACTGAAAGATGGCAAAAGGTTATGGAACAAAACGGGCAATATATAATTGATTGATCTTTGTTCTTTATATAAATAAATAAATGACCCTTGAAAAACATAGACAAGGGGTCAGCCGAGTGGTGCGTTGGTTAAGAGTTGGCTTGGGATGCCAGCTCCGAGCAGCAGGGCCCTGGTTCGGATCCCACATGAGGGCCAGTGACGCTGCACCCTCTACAGCCAAGATGGTGAACAACAGCTTGACCTGGAGTTGGGCTGCCGTGAGTCGCCGGTGATGGTGTAGGCTGCAGCCCCTGCTGCAGTGGGCTGCCATAAGCTACCATGAGTGGCTGGCAGCCAGCGTGAGCAGCCAGCAGCCGGCGTGAGCTGCCATGAGCCGCCGTCCAATGGCCGGCGAGTGACTGCCTCACCCTGGTAAGAGCGCAATGATAATACCAACATGGACCAGTGAAACGACATCCTCCACAACTAGACAGAAGAACAATAGGACAGCAATTTGTCTGTTCCCCTTCCCTGATTCGCCAATGCTGTTCCCCTCCCCCAATTCCCCAATAAAATCTTTTTTAAAAAAACATAGACAAAATACGTCATGACTTTTCTGACGACCCAATAACAGTGCTGGCAGTGAACTACCAGCGAACGTTTATCCTGCACAGCCTTGGGCAAGCTCGGAAGCATGGGGCAGAGACACCCACGTCACAGTCGCTGTCCTCACCAAGAGAGAAGGGTTTGTGGCATTTGTGGGTACTCATGCTCCCTTCATTAGAAAAGCCAGCAAGGAAACCTTTGGTATTTTTGTGATGCCAGATATCAAGCACACAGAATCGGAACGGTCTAAGGACCCCACATAACCAGATCATTATGGAATTTTGGCCACCCTTACTTTATCTGTGTGAAAACGTCTGGTCACGACTGCAGATTACACGTTTTGAAGCATATCCCAGATCCCATTATGGGCGCTTGCTTCCTCACCCAACCGCTGCCGAGATGATTAACATGAAGCCCTTGGGACCATTTGATGCCCAGTCCACATCTGCAATTCCCTTATGTCTGAAAAATATCTCTTTGATTTCCAGCTAGTTAGATTTAGGAATAAAACCAGGTCCACGCTTTGCT